CGCTCTATTTCTCTCAGCCACCACTACACACACACACACACACACACACACACACACACACACACATCCCTTGCAGAGAAAGCATACCTGAGTAACTGGAGTTTAGCTGTGATAGGTTGAGGAGTTACATAACTGGCATGCCTGGTAAAAGGAAAACTGAGTGCTTACAGTTTATTTTGATATTCCACTGAAGACATTCTACTAACTGTAACTAACTGTGCAACTACATATCAACTATAACTCTCATTCATTTGCATCGGTTAACGGGGTACGTGGGAGGAGGGGCACAGGTACTGAAGTGGCTCTGATACTGTTTAAGACTGTATATGTGGGGTCTATTTTCTAGTTTTAAGTAAATATTATGTATCACATTAGATTTTCAAACTTATTCTATACTTCCTATTGCCCTGTACGGTCACTTAGAAATGTTTTTATCAGGTAATGTGTTATGAAAATCTATGGTATTCACAGCAAGCTGCATAGTTGAATAACAGGAGTATATGAATGTTTTTCAGTCATATTTGAACCTTTTGACCCCTCAAGAGTGAAGCCTAAAGTGCAGTGATAGTGATGCTATTTTACATGCTTTACCGCCAAAGGATTGAACTTTTGTTTAAACTTGCAGTCTTTGTGTTAAACAAAATACTGAGACAATGTATGCATTTATTTTAAGTTGCTATGATTGTACAAATCAAGTACTGTTAAAAATATTGTGTTCTATAATGCGCATGTAAGTGAAATTTCTTTTCATTAAACCTCTATGAACTGTATGCTTGATATTGATTGGAAGGAAATTACTTCCTGTATTTCATCTTATTTTCTATTTTAACTACAGGTCTTTTTTGGTCATTGGTGTTGGTGTAGAGTGTTATCTACATTTGCTATTTTTAAGCATTCCTCAGGTCCTCAAGTCTGCCTTAACCACTCCTATTTACACACAAATTACAAACACTTTTCTCTCATTCAAACACCTCCTTTCACTTCCATCCTTGGCCTCTCATTTTTCCATGTCACCCTCTGACCCCCTGACACACTCCACTATCAGTTCAACTGTCATCACTGTCAGTACTTAAATCAAATCCTCTACCAGCTCTGAGGACATCCCTTCTGTTCACAGAATTAAAAATATTAATAAAAGACTAAAAAGCATATATTGTGTTCATTCTTTATTTTAAACAGGGAATATAATACTACATTATTTTAATGTAGTATTATTTATTTTCAATTTCCTATGACTGTATACAGATACGAGCTACATTTATAATAATTTTCATTAACAATGTAACATAAATATGAATGTGCCCAACTTGTTATAAACAAGAAGTTTAGAACATCCTAAGGTTACTACAAACATAACTGGATAGTACTGGAAAGTTACATAAGCTTGTTTTTACGTGCCTATTCCGCCAATTTATTTATTTTATTTTATTTATTTTTTTTGCTATCTGTGCACTTGTCACTAAATCTGCATATCTGAGTAATAAAAGTGAGAAAATCCATGGGATTGGGTACAAGATTGCATGCGAAAAGCATGTCAGTGGTCTGATTTAGTGATTAAATTATTAATTATGATAAAATAAAAAGTTCATATTTCAAGCCAACATCTACAAAGGTCTGTCTAAACATTGAAAATGTAGGTGGATTCAAATATAGTTCATAAGTAACATATTTGTCCATTAAAAAGCACTTGTGACAAAGTACCGTGAAAAAGGCCCCAGACTCGAAAATGGTTTTGGGACATGCTAGCTGGTTTTTAGTTGGTCTAAAATAATCATTAGTTGGTAAACCATCTTGGACCTGCAACAAACTAGGTGGTCAGGCTGATTTTTGGAAAATGGTGACTGGTTACAAACCAGCTAGACCAGCTTTATAACTTAACTAGGTTTTCCAGCAGAGACAGATAAAAACTAATTCAGCAGAACACGTTTGCTGATCAGCTGATGCCTGAGACACTCACTAATCTCATATCTCTTCCCCTGAGGTCACTTTGTTTTCTTCTGCCCTTCTTTCAGGAAGGTGTTTCTATATTTCTCAGTCTGATAGTAATCAGAGTCAATGGGTCCTGGAGAGTCATTTAAGGTGAGGAACACATCTTCATTAGACACTGTCACTGTGTGGACTCTTTGCTTAATGCCTTTAGAGCACCAGGTTGGTTTCAGGGGCTTCACAGAAGGGTCCACTGCCTGATAGAGACCCTCACCTTCAGCTAATGTAATTTTATACTTATGCCACGGGCACACTATGCATGTCCGTCCATCAAAGTCCTTCATTGGCAAAAGAGAAAATTGAAAGTTAAAGCAAATTTGTGGCATTCAATATAAATAAGAAAAAAATTGCCTAATGAAAGTATTCAGAGCAACCCACCTCTATATCTCCTTCCTGAAGTGGACCTCCAGAGTCTTCAACAAAATTAAAGCATAAAAAAGCACAACAGTGTTATTTAAACATAGTGTTTAATATATGTGAACAGATACATTTTATGAACATACTAATGAGGACTGAAGATTGGCCTTAAATCTGTAAAATTCTGAGCAGGCAAAATAATTATCCATACCTAAACAATATATGTGTGTATGGTAAGGGAAAGAAAATTACATGGAAGAATGATATGAGGGTGAGTAAATAATGACAACATTTTAATTTTTGGGTGAACTATCCCTTTAAGTCAACCGGCTCTTAACTTACGATAGCAGCGCACATCAATAGCATAGAAGTCCCCCTGGTGGTAAATCACCAGAACATCTCTTTCACCAACTGACTTCACCACTCGTCTGGATTGAATTATATTCTCTTTCTTCCCTATGAAAAGAGTATGTCTGGATGCAGCTGCCACATCTTCATCAGAGCTCATGTTTTTTCCCCAATCTTCTGACACTGTGAAATGGTCCAGAGGAGACAACATCAGAAATAATAATAAAATAGACGGACGGGCCGGCCGGCCGGCGGACAGACACAGACAGACAGACAGACAGAGACAGACGTGAGGTGTGAATGTAAAATCAGGTATCCATGAAACCAGCACTCATAAAGAGATGCATCTCTTTTTTATGCTTTATTTGAACATTTAGTTTACAGCATGGAACAACAAATTTAAAACATAGCAGTAATTATTAAGATTAACAGAAATAGAAAGAATAGAAAAAAACATTTAACAAGCAATAGCTCAAAACCAACAAAAAACTACTTCTACCGCAAAAATGTAAATATTGAAAATGTCTGCTGCCGGAGACTTACCATTGGCTGTTGTATTTGAATAATTCATGAGGTAGGTCTATTCAAGGTTTGTGCGCTGTTTTGGGAGTGTTTTTAAAGTCATTTATAAATATAATTACATTACATTAAGTTCCATTTTGTGTACTATATGTATTCATGTGCATTATTGCATTAATGCATTATATGCATTAATTGAAAAAGGTTTTGTGAATCCCTGCATTACTTGTAAATAAGAAATAACGTGAATTTGTACATTTTAATGTGTTTGAAAGACAAAAGCCTTCCAAAGACATAGTAATACATGGTTAAATAACCCATTGATTAGTTTTTGTAAATCCAGTGTTCAAATGCTGTGTCGCCCTTTATTATTCTGTGTAGATTACAGCCGCTTCTATTCTGGTCTTTATGTGGATATCCACAAAACTGAACGACTTTCCGGGTGTATATAAGAAGTAGGATATTTTAGAAAGTACAATTTAAAAGATGAAACAGAATTAGGGGGAAGAATATAATATATTATGAATAATAAAAAAAAAATGCAACTGCAGTCTGATTACCTGTGTTTGACATTTATTTCTCAAAACGTGATAATCTTCTTTGGCATCTTTCTCACTTTGTCGCTTTTCAAGACAATTGATCGGCAAATATTTACGACTGAAATATTAAAGAGGAAACCACAAAATGAAACAATTCACAGTAGTTGGGATCATTTCCGGTCATATTCAAGTTTCAAAATAAGAGTTTCGACCGCAAATTTCTACTAGAAGGATTAACTTTTCTGTTTATAATAATAATAATAATAATAATTATTATTATTATTATTATTATTACGACAATTTTTTGGTGGTGTAATTTTAACACTTTTTAATTATCATGCTTTCAGGTTCAAATTTGTATTTTTTATTTATTTATTTTATTTTTTGTGAAAGTGTATATTTTAGGGCCAGTTTCTCACCATTTTTAATATTTTGCCTTTACTACTCATTTTCAAGGTATAAAGTTTCTGTATAAAAGCTAAATATAAAGAAAGACCTATAGCCTAAAAAATTGGAGACCTATATAAAAATGGCGTATAGAATGTCACCACAGGACATTAATTTCCCCTTGTATTTCATGTCAACTACGCGTATGTTTACTAGAATAAGCACGTAAAACCCCTTAACACTATTAAACAAAGTTTAATGTAAGACCTTTAGATGGTGCTGTTGATACGCAACCCAGTTAGAGAAGTGGCCATATCTGTACATGTCCTGTAAGTTCAATGACTTCAATTAATGTTTATGTTTACAAAGCTTTTTTCCTGTCCAGTTATAAATCCACTCACATGCTTTTTGCCTAGTGTTTTTATGTTATCTGAGAAGTAATTAATTTTTTTATTTTTTATTTAACAGGCCAACATTAAGAATAACATTTAAATGACAGTGGCACCTGGCCTCAAATGCCATTCTAAATACAAAAACAATAAATAAGCTTTAAATTTAAAAACTATTAAGTTTAAAAACAATAAATACAAAGAGTAATAAGTGCAAAACAGACTCAGAACAGAGCATATAATGAATGCACCGCAAAGGCCTAGAACATTATTTATATAGGATTAGAATGAACGTCTATAGTTTGGGTAAAATTGAAACTTGGAAACCTATGGGATTTCAGTCTGAAGATAAATGCTTACACTAATGTCAATAATTAATTTATTGACTAGGTGACTTATTTCTGAATCTCCAACACAGGCCAAAACATATGTTTACTTAGGTTATTGGTAATGAATAAACAACGGCAGCCTGCACTCTAAGATTTCCGAAATGATAAATGTACAAGGGTTTAATGAAATGCTAATTTACTGCGAGTAAATTAGGGAGGCACCATTCTCTGCCATGCCTGCTTTTTTGAAACATCTTTCCTTTTTTTCCATTAATCATGGGATACATTTGCACCAAACATTCACAAAATGTCAATCTACTTTAAATAGCAGGTAGTATAATTTTAAAATGCATTTCATCATTTGACCTGATGTTTTTGGGTGTAAACATTTAAAACTGCTTTTGATGTCCCTCCTCAACCCCTCTGTTTTCCTTCCATTGCCTGACTGAGAATGCATTAACCCAGATTCTTCCAAAGGCCAAATGTTGCTTTTAACAGCTAGCATCATGGGAATTAAGAGCAGGATGTTCTATTTACATCAGAGAGCAGCAGAAGTGCAAAATAAGATGAAACCCTGAAACTATAATCATGGTAAATACAGTACAGGTATACACAAATATTCTTCCCATTCTTCCATTGAAGTGTATTGCTTTGCATAACCCTTATATACAGTATAATGCAAGTTGTGCAGTAGAATCTACTGAAAGCAACAAGCGCAATGGCGATGGCAACCTTGAAAAGCAATCAAAGGCTGAAACGAGGGTGCATTTGTAAATATAACTGCACAGCTAATCAATGCTTTTGGTTCATGTGAAACTGTGAGCTTGATATACACTCTTAAAAAATAAAGGTGCTTCACGATGCCATAGAATAACCTTTTTGTCTAAATGGTTCCATAAAGAACCTTTAATATCTGAAGAACCTTGCTGTTTCACTAAAGGTTCTTTGTGGCGAAAGAAGGTTCTTCAGATTATAAAAAGGTAAGAAAGAGATGGTTCTTTAAAGAACCTTTGACTGAATGGCTCTTTGTGGAACCCAAAATGGTTCTTCTATGGCATCGCTTGAAGAACCTTTTGAAGCACCTTTATTTTTAAGAGTGTAGCCAATAACAGATGGTAAAGGGGCTGGAATCAACCGCGAGCATGCCAAACATACAGTACACATTGCTTGGCAGTTGTAACTCCACAGGCTGCCTGCAACCCCCTTTAGTCAGTATTACTAGACTAAATGATTTTCCTCTAAACAGGGAGCCAAAAGGTACTATTCATTTTCAAGATTTTGAGTGTTATGAAATAGCTTTAGTCAATCCATGTTCAGGTACAACACTCCATCTGATGCTGCTTTACAATCACAATCATGTTGCTTAGAATTAAAGCCAATAATAAACTGCACTTTTCACTTATCTGGACAAGAATTAATTTGCTTTTATTTTCTGGCTCATTTTTCATTCTGTGAAAAATATTAGTTTTAGTCATATTGAAGAATTAAAAAAAATCTCAAAGGAAAAAGCTTAGGTTTATGTGGCAACAAATCTTGTCGCTTGTGTGTTTTAAGCTGGCAAGAAATAAGTTATTATGGGATAATGAAAGACATTATGGAATACTATGAATACTAAAAGGTACTTAAAGTCAATCTTCTCCCTCTCACTCCTTTTCACGTAAGTGTAGGTTTAATTAGCTACGCATAGTGAGAAATAGCAGAGTAATTTATTCTTATTTTGACATTTGTTCATAATAGTGTCTTGCACAGAATTTTGCCTATTCAAGACTGAACACTATACATTAAACTATGCATTTAACATATGCAAGGTTGCAGAAGCAAATAACAACAGTAGCTTGATGTACTGTAAATACAGGTAGTGCTAGTCCTATATTATAGTGTGACATGTCTAATAAGTGAGGCACAAGATGAGTTAAAAGTGAGACATTTTTTTGTTCTGTATTAAATAGCAGCTTAACCTGATTTCCTGGCGTGGATATGTAGGTTATGTAGGTCTCTCTTTTTTTCTTCTTCTTCTTCTTTTTTATCCAGGTTACAGACAGACAGATGGTTCTCCGCAAGATGTGAGCAGCTATCCATGTACACACATGAGTGTACGTGTGTGTGTATGTGTGTGTGTGTATATATATATATATACAGTGGGTACGGAAAGTATTCAGACCCTGGCTGCAATATAACAAAGAGTGAAAAATTGAAGGGGGTCTGAATACTTTCCGTACCCACTGTATATATATATATATATATATATATATATATATATATATAATGTATTATATACACATTCTGTATACATACTGTATATGCATATAATTAACAACAATAATAATAATAATAATTATTATTATTATTATTGTTATAAATATCCTTTAAATATCCCCATCGAAGATGTGAAGTACGTATTAACAACGTAAAGCTCACTACCCAAGAGAAACTCAGGGGTTAATGGAGAGCGGTGAGGTTAGTTTGTCCAGCCTCTGGAGAGTCTGCGAGAACAGTCCCGTCTGAATGAAGGTTACAGACACTCAGAGACAGAGAAGGGGGAAGCCAAACACATCCTGACGGACAGAGAACGATCTGTGAAGAACAAAAAAAATCCTAACGCTAGGTACAGATCGGTAAGTGTCACATGACGTTGACTTTCATTCAAAAAAACCATTGCGTTTTAACAGTTAAGTTAGACACTGGAGAAGGGTTTGTGTGACACGTAGCTTGATGGCAAGATGCCCTTATTCTCCGTGCTAAGAGTTCCTATGGATACAAGGAGTCGTCTATTAAGTTTCACAGCTGACAAGTTTCAGCGAAAGATGTTTGTAAATAAGAGGTAGGGGTTTATTCAGTCCAGTTATGTTTTAGAGATAACGTCCTAGTATGCTTTACGTTCACTACGTAGCGGTTTGCTGTGATAGCGGTCGATGAGCACTTGTCAAAACGTGTCCCTTTAGGCTGTTTACGTTTAAAGGACCGTAATCGTGTAAACATATGTCGTTTCATCAGTATAACGCTATTTCCGAGCTGCTGACTTCAGACTTCAGAACGCCCCTTCTAACAAAATTACCATGGTAACCTGGGTTTCCGCAAAAATACCATAGTTACTACAGTTATTGTTACTAAGTATACTTACTAAAATAAACTTGAAGTATACTACTTTTTGGTAAGGGAAATGAGGACAAAATATAAATTATTATGTCCTTCAAACAATGTAAGTATATTTCTCTTGTTGCAGAATTGGCATTTTAACACTGCAATTATGTCTGTAGTATTCAGTGCATTGCAGTATTACTGTAACATTGTAATATGATTTATATGTGTGTATGTGTGTGTGTTTAACTAACAGTCATTGAAAACCCCATATTGATTTAAATTACCACTACCAAAACACCAATAATACTAAAATAAGTGAGCAAAGTTCCTCTGTTTCACTCATTTTACCACATCTCACAGAAATAGAAGACGCACAATATTTCCTTCATAAAGCAGTATGAATATTTTTCTCTTAATAAGGTTAAGATGTATTTCTTCACCCAGCTAAGATTGTTCCAGCATTTTAAGGCTTGTGCAGGCAGTTAATGCACACAGTATAGCGTTGATTATGAGTGCAGCAGATGTAAGGAGGTTATTAGTTTTGGTGCTCAGTGTTGCATTGAGACTATAATGTAATATTTGATCTCAAAGCTTGTTTCGAATGGCCTGTATAAGATGATTTTATATGAGCTATTTTTGTGTTCTGTGCCTTGATTTGAAACATTTGTGTCTTTTCCCAGTTACTGATAACAAGATCAGAGGAAGATAGACTACTTGTTAACCATACCCCCTTTTTTATTTGAAAGCTTTTATGTTTTTGATTTTCTGCTTATTTATTCATTGCCTGAGCTCCCATAACAAGAAACATTTTATTGTTTGAAACATACTGTAGCTAAATCAGTAGAACTGAACTCTACAACCCTTAACTAAATATAGAATCCTACAGACTGCTTCTAACATAATTTGACTAATGCAGTTTGACCTCGGTTCAGGATATCGATGAACTTGCAGTGCTAGCAGAGGAACAGTGCATTGTGCCATCCTTACACAGGCTCAGGGAGAAAATTGTTCTCATGAAAGTCAAGTGCGAGAGCTTTCTGCATGGAGAGTGTGTGGTCAGTGGTTTTCCCCTCATCTCTCAGTGGCTCAATCAAGATTGCTGGACTCATGACACTGTTATCTTCCAATGCAGTCTGACCTTGTTGCTGTTTGTGCCCGCAGTTGCTGCTTTGAACTACAGAAGGTGTGAGGAAGAACAGGCCTGGAGATAAGCAACAGCGGTTACTAGGAGAAGGTGAATGTCTTGTGTCACAAAGAGTACCATCAGCAGACTGCGACACAGAAAAATTGATTATCTACGGCTTCCACTTATTGTCTGATGCGCTCAGCGCATTTTCATTCATTTCACATTCACTGGATTTTGATCTATCCTTTTTGTCACTTTGACAAAATTTGCACCCAATAATACATCAATAATCACTGCCAGTGCTTTGTAGATCCTGTCGTCATCTACCAGAACATCTTCTACTAGAATGACTTCTACCAGAAAATCTACCAGAGCATGAAACGTTAAAATCAACCAGGACTAAGTTTATTCTTCTCTTTTAATTCTACCAAACCCTCTCATCTCTGCTGTCAAGACAACTAGAGCAAGGCATCTCCTTTAAGAGTCACTCAGCGCTAACAAGATAGACGCAGGGAGGGAGTAAAAAGAAGAAGAAAAGAGGGAGGGTGGGTGGAGAGCCAGAGAGATTTGGCGCTCAAGTGTGAGCGAGAGAGAGCACGCAGAACACAGCGTGCAAGTGTCTCATCTAACCATTGGCACTTTGATGCATTTCAAAGCCTCGCACCTCGCACTGAAGAATCTGACAGAACGCGGTTAGCATCTGAGACTTGTACTCGAGCAGACGGCCGAACGAATGGGCTTTTATTTGAGGAGCAGCAGTTCAGAAGGACTCGTCTGAGGCGGCTGTAATTGAGGATGAATTTCTGAGAGACCTGCTGGGTTAGAAGGATCCAAATAGTGACTTAAGATCTTACAACTGTCCAGAAAGCCAAAAAGGAGAGGGAAATTCATAATGGATGAATGTCCTTGGATTTGCTGGCAGTGCTGATCTGTTTCTCAGTTTGTTGGTGCATTTGGGTCTCTGAGATTCTGCTTTAAGAGAACGAGTTTGTAAGGAGTTCTGGTACAGGTCAGTTCCACGCTGGACCACACAAACTATCTGCAGGAGGTCTGGAGAGCATGGGGAAATCAAACAGCAAGCTCAAACCTGAGGTGGTGGAGGAACTAACCAGGAAGACCTACTGTAAGTACTTTCTGAGTACACTTTTAAGAATAAAGGTTCCATTGAAGAACCATTAAAGAGCCACTTTGGGTTCCCCAAAGAGCCTTTCATGGAACACTTCCTAAAAGAACCATTTTTTCTCAGTGTGAATAACTTTTAATAATCTAAAGATCCGTTTTCTACTAGAGAAACTTTTGTGCAAAAGAAACATTCAGTGGATGTTACAGGTTCTTCATGGAACCATAAAAGAATATTTATTTTTAAGGATGCATGACATGACCCATGTTTTTCAATAGTGTTCATTTTTTCTTTGTTACTATGATCTCATTGATGTTTTTCCAGCCTTTGAGTAAAAAGGACATGGTGGCTATTAAAACCTCATTTTTAATTTACCTGTTATCCTCTTGGGTCCAGCACATGCACTAATTAATAGACTAGAAATATGAGATCATTTGTTTGAAAACAACATTGTTAAACCGCATTCAAGATCCTGCGGCTCATACCACATATATTTTGTCACAAGAAATCAAAGTTCTTGTGGCATCAAAAATTGTGATTAGCAGAAGCCTGGAAGTGGGCCTAATCAACATGTTTTAAAAGCCCTCCAATTGGGACTCGAGCTTTATGAATATGCAAATTGGTCGGTCTTGAGATCTGCAATCAGGCTGGTGGTTGCCCAGAGAGATATCTGAAAGTGGCTTGCTCTCTGCCAGTGAAGCAGATTGGGTTTCCATGGATGCATAGGCTATATATGTAAACACATTGAGCTAGATCTCGATTCTAAAACTAGTGCAGTGAAATGACAACAGCATTGGAAATGCTCAGGACACAATTCACTGTAGGCCTTCTTTGCATTCTCCATTAGTTTGCAGTCTCTTTATATAGAAATGAATTGTTGTTCATATATTAACCAAATATTAGAAGCTTATCAACAAATAGTTTTTGCTCTTTTCAAATGCAAATATATGGTAGTCCTGTGTGTTTAATTATTATATATATTTTTTCCAGAAATATGGTAAAAAAATTGCGGCTGAGGCACTTATTTTATAGTGACTCAAGCTACGATCAAGTGTTACACATTTAGTTTTTTGGTTAATTAAGTGCATCATCTGGGTATTTTAATTTTTTACATTTTCAAATTGAAGACACACAATGGCATAGAACAGTACAAAAGTACAAGAATTAGGATGCACCTACAAATAGAGTTTTAGAATTCTACATAGTTTTTACAAAGATTTACAGCAAAATGAATCTGTGTAACATTATAAAACTCTATATTAGGTTACACTTTCTGAACCGACTAAGAACAAATAGCAAATACCTAAACTGACCATCCGTTTATTAAAGATGATTTAGGAAGCCTAATATAAAACAGATCTTTTTTCATCAAACTTATGAAAAGAACCCAAGACACTGTGAGTAAATAGTATATGTGTTAATAAGCAGTGAGCATGGTAAAGTAGGCAGCGCTGGTTTGAAGTCATGCAGATATAGAATGGGAAGTGACAGCCAATGGCTTCCTAATAATGGTGTCTGCTGTGTGTTGGGCTCAGTGGTGGGCGCTACATGGAAAGGCGCTGGGCAGGAAATTGCAGCATGCTGGGAAATGTGCCTCCGTGCTGGGATGGACTCCATGGCTCTCACATTCCTCCTTTCTTTCTTTCTTTCTTTCTTTCTTTCTTTCTTTCTTTTTCTCTCTTTTTCTCTCTCTGAGTCTCTCTCTGCCGTTTAATTGCCTCTCTGTGAGCATAGAATGGAATACTGTAATTAAAGCCGTATCAGCTCTGCCTCGCAATGAAGGACATTGCAATTCTCTTTCTATCCATGTATCCCTCTTACCTACCCCTCTCTCTCCTCAGCAGTCCCTTATCTTTACCCTCCTTTGTTATTTTTTTCTCCTCATCCCCATTTGTAACCTTTATCGGTTTCTCATTCTTTTGTTCCTGTACGTTTTTCAAGCCTCTATAAGCTCGAGCCCATAGCTAGAAATTATGTTTTTAATCGGGAAGAAGTCGTCAATTGTGTATTTTTAGGTTTGCTTTAGCTCTTGTTTGGGACTACTGTAAGAAAGGGAAGTAAATGCTACACCTAAAATACATTTGTTTTTGCAATGTATGATGACCAGGAAGGAACAGTTTTTTATAGAGACAAGCAGTTTATCATTAGAGATTTTCACACTTTTGTACTTACGTATTGGAACACTTGAACATAAATTAGCTGATCTCAATTTAACTAGAAGTCTTTAGATTTTAATAATATTGTATTTGATTTTCAAAATTATCTAGCATAAAATGTCTTTGAAGTCACAGTTTAGTCTGAATATAAGTTTTGATTCACCATAATTTATCCATTTAAACCTTTAGTAAATAAACAAATATGGTATGTAAAACATGTTAAAAATGGTTGAAATCATAAGCGCAAGATTCTTTTCAAAATGAACAGCTGGCCTCTGTCTCTCTCTCTCTCCACTGCCATCCCAGATGCAACCGACTAATTCAATCTACACTTTCAGCCATTTAATGTCTGCATTTTGCATATGTTTATGGCAATTAAAGGACAGCTTAACTTGTTTTACAGCTGTGGAGGCTTGCTGCTGCAAGTGTTTATTTCTCATGAGTGGGCTACATGATTGAGTTTTTTGCGTGGTGAAGAGCAAAGGGAAGCGTGCATGAATACAGACTAGATTTTAATGTAGGCAGAAGATTTTTCGTTCTGCCAGGAAGGCCTTGATCAAAAGCTTATCAATCAGAACACTGGCTCGCCTATTCAGTGTGGTGAAACAGATTTTCCATGGCATTTAACTACAAATATGAGGCACTTCTCTTTTTTTGGGTTATGTAACACTGGCATTTTCATAGCAATCATTAGATTATTTAATGGAGGACATATCCCTCGGTATTGATCGAATATAAGCTACTGTAGCAGCTCTGTGGAGAATTGTAGCCTCAAAGAACTACAGCACTGAGCATTAGAGGCCTGAATGATTTAATGAGGCAAATTTAAACAAAGGCCTATATCACTGCCTGTTCAATGCCAGCTCACATCTCACTAAAGTGCTGCATGTTAGTCTCCAATGGTGCTTTCTTTAGAGAGCTCACTATGCACTTAGAGCAGTGGAGCAACTGCCCCATTAAAGTTTTGCCCTTTCAGTTAGCAGATTTGCATACAATTGACATTTTAGGCTCCCTTTAGAGTGGTAGTAGCTATATAGTCCAAATGAAATGTGAGGGTGTGAACTCTTTAAGGACTAATGCACCAAAAAATGAACATTCTGTCATCATTTACTCACCCTCATGCCCTTGTATGACTTTTTCTTCTTCTGTTGAACATAAGAAATTTTGAATCATACACTAGTCAAACTTTTCCAAGCATTTACAATAGGAATAGAGTTTTCAAGACTTCAAAAAGACACAAAAGCACCATAAATCTGTTATAAAATTAGTCTATACTTGTTATCAGGTTTATTGAAGTCAAAAGATTTCTGATTAAGACCATTTGTTTGAACTGGATTAAGTGCTTCATCTAAAAATCTAACTGAATTTGTTCTTGTCGACTACTTTTACAATGGTTTTATTGTGGGTTTTTGCTTTTTGTCAATTTGGAGCTTAACAGCCCCTCTTCCTCATTCTCTTTCATTATATTGAAAAGGGTGGTGGTCACCTTTTATGTTCCATTGCAGTAAATCAGTAAATCACACAGGTTTGCAAAGTATTTCCATTGTTCGTGTGATCTGTGCCTTTAATTGCTCACAGCCATTGTGCTGTGACAGTGTGTCTGAAGGGGCCAGTCATTTCCTTCTCCGTCACGCTTTTCTAAATCTCTTTTTCCAGAGCTTGAAATACAAACTCTTTGTTTACCCCCATTAGAACAGTCCGCCTCAACAATGATTTCCTGTGACTTTGCAAGGAGGCATCTGAAAAGATCTTGCTACTGTATGGTTTCCAAGTGATTAGTGGTCTTAGTACAAAGAGAGCTTGGCTGCAGAGTCATTCATAGAATGAGAAGGAGGGTTGTTTGAGTCATTTTGGTATAAAACAAAAAGCCAGCATGAATTCACCCAATTTCCTCTCAGCAGACCATTTAGAAAATATGTAACGTATTAGACATACAAATGTTTAATAGTGACAAAGGAGGGTCTGCACACACTGACTGTGTCAGAAACCTGAAAAATGTTGACTTCTCAGGGAGAATACAAAGGTAGGAAGGCATTAAGGCATGTTTGAGTCCAATGTTTGCATAACATCCTACAAAGATGCCTCCCATCTGGTCGATTTTCTGAGGGCAGCATGAATGCATCATTTGTTGCCTACAGCAGTCCCAGCAGGATTTCGCCAAGCTTATTTCTAATCATGGCATCCCAAATTTATGGAGTTGGCTGTGGCTTTTCTAAAGAATTTCAGTGCTATTATTTGCTGCATTTTTTGTGTTGTTTTGCAACAAAAACTCACAAATAATCATTATTTAATTATGAAAATAAGTTTAGTTTGTTACCTTCATAAACATATCTGAGTTAGGCAGCACTATTGGCATAAAGCAAATAATGGCACACTACAATCTACATTAAAACACATAACAAATTAGTTGGAGATGTCTGTAAAGTCCGTTCTCAGAATTTTGATTGATCTAAAATGAATAAGCACAGTTATTTCAATAGTGTGCCCTTTGCCAACAGCTACCAAGATGCTCTCGGTGCATGTGTCTTAACTTTTTAGGTCCCACAAGCAATTCAAGTGATCCGAAAACAATGCTAAATCATTAGGCTGTGGTGTCAGTGTTGGTGCTTTCATATTTACCCGCATATGCTACCTATATATGCCATTTTCAGTGAAATCCAGTGTTTAGTTGTTCATGAAGAAGCATAAAAGGACTCTAAGATCCCGGAAATCCAGTAGGAGTCAGCCAATTGGATTTAGAATTAAGCTTTGTTCTTACATATTGTTCACAGTATATATCTAAGAGTAGTGTGCTATTTGAATAGCCAATAATGTTTCATAACTCTGCCTTCTTTCCAGATGCTAGGTGTCCAAATCTCTTTACTTTGTCTGTCTTAATCTCTCTTTTCCTGTGTCTGGCTAGGAGTAGTGGGTCGTTTTCGGTCATTGTTTTCAAGCTTCTAGCTTACTGCTGTTTCCCAGCAACAACATAACTGTGCTATCCCAGCATTATGGTTGTGTGGGTACAGATTCATGTTGCCTTCTGCTTATAATGCTTTACCTAGAATGACATCTGTTGCATGAGGAAATATGTATTTTTTGACAAATAAAAGCTAAATCCTTGCTCTGTTTATGAGGTGGCCCATGTCTACCCAATCAGTCAAATACACTTGCCTGGATGCCCAGGAAGAACAGGAAGCCACACCAGGAAGATTATGCTAATTGAAAACAGAAATTATTTTTAGCTTGTTACAGATTGTAAGAAACTTTGTTGAAAAAATCGATAAATAAGAGCTATAAGGTGTTTTGTGTATACTTGGGCTGTTGATTTAATATATTAATTATTTAGTTATATTCATTATTTCATTATTTCGAATTTAGTAGATTAGGCACCTATTGTATCCATTAGTTTTCTTCTTATTCTTCTCCTTCTTCTTCTTCTTCTTCTTCTTCTTCTTCTTCCACTCTGGAAGTCTATGGCAGCCCATAGAACCACTTGCAGGAAAGTTATGAAATTTGGTACACAGATAGAGGAAAGTCTCAATATTAACCATAGCAAATTTGGAGTCTTTATCTCAAACTCTCTAGCGCCACCAATATGCCAAATTTGCACTCATATTTCTGCTAATAACTTTTGAACTGTAAGGTCTAGAAGAAAAATTCCTTGGCTCATGCTGAGTCGAATGCATCCCAAAATGTAAATTTCGGTCACGACTTTTGCCATTGTGAATTTGGGAAAAATCAACTTTTTTTGTATTCATCCTAGACAGTTTGTCTGGTTTTCACCAAAATTGGCTCAGATCATCTTCAGAGCATTCTGGCAAAAAGTTATCAAAAGCTTTTTGATATACCAAACCTTTTTCATACAGCGTGTTAACGAATTTGACAAAGTTTGTGCAAAAATGGACATTAGGTTATATCTCCGCAACGCTTTAGCGAATTGTGACCAAACTTAGTATGTGTTATAACAAGCATGACCTGAGGGCGTATGAGTAGTTTCGGCACAGTGCCACTTACTGGTCAAAAGATGTAAAAAATGGCCTTTCTGCTTATAACATTTATAATATTTCATTCAAATCACTGCTTACTACCTATAAGTATTGTGGAATATCGTTGCATCCATCGATTCCGCCATGTTTCTAATTGACACACCCCCAACTCGTACAGATCATTGCTTAAAGAAAATCCCGAACTCCCCACTGGTGATTACGACTTTGTGGTGGTGTTCATGTGCATTTAACTCGTAAATACGATCTGACATGACTGCAGGAAGATAGCTCTTCAGAAGCAGGGTTGGAGAACACTGGACTTTACTGAGTAATTAAAGACAGCTCCTTAGCTCTAAATTTTATTATTATTATTGATTAAATTAACATTCAACATTTAACATGACCTCTGACTCCATACATATTCCTTATTATTATTTAAAAATATTATTTATGCTTATTAACTGGTCTACATACAATGATCGATTTGATTAATTAACCAGCATACCATGTAATTAGATAGCATTTCTGATAAATTGATTTCCCTAGTATGTTCCAAATAAGATGCTGTATCCATACATAATTTCATTTAAAATTGCAATACCGCAGTTTTCCATCTGTACCCATATAAATCTCAAGTAGTTTTCCTCATAGGAATGGATGCACAGCCTTGCTCTTCAAGTTTGTTTGAGGAGGGACTCTTGGGGACCCAATTGTAAATGCTGCCTCAGAATGCAGAGATGAGAGTAATATGATATGATGTCAGGGGATTTGTTGTTTAGCATTTGTAAATCACAAGCCTACATACTCCACCAAATGCTGTTGACCAACAAACCACAGCCTACTCATTGTCTTCTGGCTCTCACTTCTGTGCTTGCATTGTTTTTTGTTAGCCCTGTTACTTCTTATGAAGTAACCCCTTGTAGCTCCAGAGATGATAGATGATAGATGTGTTAGCTAAGTGTTAAATTAATGTCAGTGACCTACAATTGAGATCGTAAAAAGTTTTAGTAGTGTGCATTTTAGAAGACAGGCTGAATCACAACAGGCAATCAGTCTGTTATGATAATGTAGCACAGGCTGCCAGACAAATTTATATTTAGTATTTTGTTTCGTCTTTAATTCAATAGTTTATTCATTGTGTTCTCTCCTGTTTCCCCCTACAGTTACAGAGAAAGAAGTTCAGCAATGGTAAGCTATCTATCTATCTATCTATCTATCTATACACATACTCCTCTGCTCTGTCTTTATCCTCCTCCTCTTATCCCTCTGTTGTCTGTTTTGGCACACTGGGCACATCATTCTTTTATACCTCCATCTGCTTTGGCCACTCAACACAGCATCATTTTACATTTCCTCATCATTTTGTAGTTGTGCTTCCCAGGGGAAAAATCTCAGTGTCTACCCTTGAAACACACACATTTGACAGTAATGTTACAGTCCATCTCTCCATTCATGTGCCCAAATGTCAGCGAGCATGTAGTTTGGCACACCTCACTTAACGTCAGTCTCTCACAGAGTCCAAGCGCTGGCACCTTAGCTGGCATGCCCAAGGTCAGTCCAGTCCTGGCACTGTGCGTCCCTGGGTGTTTGCCAGGCTAAATTGTTGACTCATTTCTGCAGCTGCTGGTAGATATAAAACCAGTGAGGAAGGACAAGGATGTGGTGCTGCAGTGGGACGTGAGCTATAGGTGCCTTTTGAATTCACTCCGCCTCGCAGTCCTGTATTGTTGCTTCTTAAGTATCCATCATTCCTTTGAGGATCCTTCCTGTGGATAAATGATGCGTGACACAGAGATGAAGGTGCAAAAAGCTGCTTTTTTTCATGGTTTTAGCCACAGTGCTTTTGTGGTGCACAAATGTCAGAAGTCTGAGTGCATTTAAACTTAAGTATTATCGTACTTGCAATTTATATACAGAAGGGGTCAGTAAGTCTCTTATGCTTGACAAGTCTGCTCTAATTTGGTCAAAATAATTGAAATATTATGAAATATTATTAGAATTTAAAGTAATTTTTTCTATTGTAATATATTATAAAATTCCTGTGATGGCAAAGCTGAATTTTCAGCAGCCATTATTCCAGTCTTCAGTGTCACTTGACCCTTAAGAAAGCATTCTAATGATGATTTGCTGCTCAAGAAACATTTCTTATTATTATAAGTGCTGCTTAGTATTCTTTTGGAAACAAAATAGAATGTTCAAAAGAAGATTTTTTTTTTTTTTTGGAAATAGAAATCTTTTGCAACATTATGAATGTGTTTACAGTTGCTTTTGAACAATTTAATGCCTGCTTGCTGAATAAAAGTATTAATTTCTTTAAAAGAATGTACTTATCCCAAGCCTTTAAATGGTGTAAATAGGTTATTCTGAATAAGAACTGTGGGATGGGATCATTGGAAATTAATAATTGCAAAATAACATTTTGGCATGAAACACGTGTTTTTAATGTTTAAATAGTAATAGTAATAGAAGATGTATATATTTGTTATAAGAATTTCTGTCTGTCAAAAAGTAATAAGTACAAGTTACTTGTACCTATAGATTGTACAGTTGTGCTCATGGATATCTTCTTCCTTAAAACCACTGTTGCCTTCTTACCATAACTTAAAGGGGGTCATATGATGCTGCTAAAAAGAACATTATTTTGTGTATTTGGTGTAATGAAATGTGTTTATGTGGTTTAAAGTAAAAAAAAAAACATTATTTTCCACATACTGTACATTATTGTTTCTCCTCTATGCCCCGCCTTTTTGAAACGAGTCGATTTTTACAAAGCTCATCGGTCTGAAAAAGCGAGGTGTGCTCTGATTGGCCAGCTGTCCAGTGTGTTGTGATTGGCCGAATACCTCAAGCGTGAGATGTAAATGTCACGCCCCTCACCATACTGTTGATGCCGTGTCCCGGCCG